TCGTCTTCTTGGTCATTATCATATCTTGTTGAATTTCTTATTGAAATATTCGTAGTCTGATGCCAATTGTTGTGCTCGTCATATAATCGATCTTTAGTTTTCAAATCTTGACATAGCTCTAGACGAAGTTCCGCCATCTGTGCGATATATTCAGCCCCGATCTTTGCCAAATTTTACGAATCATCTAATAAAGATATTATAGGTCGCGTCAAAGGCATCGCCTATGAAAAAGAGCTGTTTTATTCCTTTCCTTCACTATAGGTTTTGACATCACATTCAATCAGGCCCGTAATCAACTTGCGATTTCATCGTTATCGTCTTCTTTGAAGATGTTCTTGAACCATCGTGTGGGGCGAAGCTGAATGAGCATCTCATATTGAATTTCTTCGGGCAATCAGCGTATCCGTATTAGTCTCGGCATTCCTACGATCCATCTCTATCTAAATAAGATTCGTAGCTAATATTATATATAATGGTAATAATAAATCATATTAAAGATCCATATTATTATCTTGTACAATAGATGTAATGCCAGATTTCTTATTTCTATTCAGAGATTTATATTGAATAAGAATACTAAATTCATGGCTCGTATATCAATTCATATTGGAAAAGACAATTCCTTCTAGTTGCTGAATTGGCTATAAATGTATTCTTATCTCGAATCATCGATACTATTGAAATGCTAGAAGATTTGAAAAATTTATATCTATTAATTTCGTATTTGAAGCTTTTCTTACTATTTCAGGCGTTGACATAATTCGCCTAGCTCATCATCCAACATAGACAATGGATGTTCTCATTCTGCAGCAGCTTATTTCCTATGGACCTCGGCTTGTTCCATCTTCATAATAATCTCGGATCGGGCGACTTCCTCCTTGCTCGTAGAACATGTGCTCCAGATTGCGCTGCAAATATTCTGCCATTCTCCTCTTCTGGAGCTGCCTGTTCGTCTTCTTTCAGCATGTCAAACCTCTATTTCATAATCGCGATTATCGATCTATTGGTCGAAGATTCTATCCTGAAATATAGTCTTTCACGAATTTTCGTATTGAAATCTTCCACGGGCTTCTCATATTTCATCGCCATATTATGACCTTCTCCTTGAATATGTTATTCGTAGTATACGAAATATTAATTGAGATGCCTCGCTATGAAGTTGTCCCATTTCTTGAAATAGAGATTCCGCCACTCCTTGGTTCCACAAGTGATGGACATGGCTCACTTCTTCGATTCTTCTCATCACGTACATATATTCTTCTGCGGAATTCTGATGTATTTACTCACTTGTGCAATCATAGCTCACAGATATTCACGTTAATATTCCAGTTCTTCGATCTTCAATGATGAACCATGATCTTCTTACATCATTTCATCCAGCTTTACGATCAAATTCGTCCCAATAGCTTCATATCGCCGAATATCTTCTTAATTAAATATCTTTATCTCTTCTTCAGCATACATCAACTACTCGATGATCTGATTATTGTTCGCTTGTGGTTGATATTATGAACGACTAGTCAGACTCAATACGAGAAGATTGCTACAGATTCATTTCATATTGCCAATATCATATCAGCATTGCCCGAATCATTAGGCATAGGCGTATCCGTATCTTTCGCCAAAGGAATAAGAGACGATTCAATTATTTGTCGCCTCTCCCACGGAGAAGATAATTATAACTACTTCTGCAAAATTTTGCCCGAGATTCGCCGCCTTCCATCTTCGTTTTTTAATTCGTAGATATTATATCTCCGTCCTCGATGGATGTCTTTCGTCAATTTTCATTCTGGCACCCGTCGACACTGATCGTATTTGTGATAGTGCCTTGGGCGCCGAACTTGCCCTTGGTCTCGATCCTGGATTCGAAGATGATGCTGATGATTTCATCTTCTTGTCATCTTCTATGAATGTCGAATCCACGGAAATGGTCAATATTTCTTCGACAGTTGCCTCGTCTGTCATTGATATTATAACTTCCCTACCTCCAAAGATCACAGTCGTATCTGTACTTGATCTAGATGCCATAGCTGGTATACTTATTCGCTGTCAAAACCCTTGTCTAGGTAGAGCCTACGACTGATAACCTATATGACGAGGATTGGAATACGATAATATCGTGAGATAATCTTATCGCCGAGCAAGATAATATAAGATATTCTAATCGTCTATTGATAATATTAATATTTGCTTTGAATTCCGAAATTATCTATTCAGAGGGAGACAGACGTATATTGAATAATTTGAAGGATCTATAAATATCCATTAAATTCTCAAGATTCAATTAATTTGAAATTTCAGGCCAATTCCTCTGAGCCAAATGATTATCGGTTTATGAGCCTTGATAGATTAAGAGACTTCCGGATTTGGTCATACAAAGAGATCCAAATTCGTATCGTGCTTGCTAGCACAAGATTGCCCAAGCGTAGTCTAATATATGATATAATATAATTCTTATCACGATATCTAGAAATCTATTAGGCTTCGAGGCTTCTTCGAATAAGAACTATATAATTTTTATTTATTTAATTCTCATAGTAGCTCGAAATACGAAATATCAAATAATAAATTAAAATTCGATTATCTTCCGAAAGATAAGATTATATTTATGCAATATTGATATTAATTTTATTAATATATAATCATTTAAATAATAAAAACAAGAATTATATAATATTTTCATTTAATTCTCATAATAGCTCGAAATATAAAATTATCAATTAATAAAAAACGACTATTCCTCGAAAGATAAGAATATATTTATATATATCTTTATATAAATCAAAAAAAATATATATTCTTTTCTCGAATTCTTAATTATCTTTGTGATTTCTTGTTCCGGCAAGCTCTAAGACTCATGCAAATATTTATTTCTCTAATTATTTTATAATTTTTCTAAGATTCATATCTGCGATTTTTCTTTTTTTTCCTTGGGATTTCAAAATGTGCCTATAATTTCGATTCTGATTCAACTATAATTTGGCCGCGATTCGATTGAGATTTAATTATAATTCGGTTATATTTCGATAATGGACGCGTCTTCCCGAAGCGTAATCAAATCATAGTCGAATCACAGATTAGAACGAATTCCGTGCCTCCTTATAACACGAATATTATTTAACTATAATATAATCCGTATGTCGGCTATAATTTAGATATAATCAAATCTTATCTAAATCATAATCAAATCATAAATCAATCTTTATCGAAATATAATCGAAACACAACCAAATCAAAATCGAATCTCGATCAAATCTTATCCAAATCACTACCGAATCATAAAGGCAAGAATTTAAATAAGAACTTCGGTTCGGCCTACGATTTATCTATAATACAATTAAAATAGTAATTTATTTATAATTCGATTTTAATTATTATTCGATTATTATTTGAAGGTAATTTAAATTTAATGTAACTATAATTCGATTATTCCAATTATCGTTTATAATTCAACGAAAATTTATTTATTAAGCTCATCGCGATTCGGTAATCTATTTGTGCAATCAAATTATAATCAAATCATAATCGAACCATAATTAAATCCCAATCAAATCATAACCGATTCACAACCAAATCTCAAATAAATCTCAACCAATTCATAAATAGAATCATAAATAGCAAGAAAATCACAATAAAATCACAGACCCGAATCAAAAGAAAAATCACAATCAAATAGCAAAATTTTTATTTCTCAAATACAGAGTATTAGTAATTTCAAAATTATCTTAATTATTTGTGTCTTTTGCGTCTTTTAATAAATCTTATATATTCTAATATTAAAATAACTAGTTTTCTCCTATTTATTTTTATCACTTCAAATTTTTGTTAGATTTATCGGCCAACGATTTCGTCGCCAACATGAGAGGTAGGTGCCATCGTGTGCAATCCCAAGCGTTCCGAGAAATTCGTACTATCTGTGGGTCTACCCTTGGCACCCATGTCCCACATTGTCCGGTCCTACGATGTCCGGTGGTCAACACCTTGCTGGTCGCTACTTACCCAACAAGACTCGGTCCGTCGGGCCGACTACAACAGACAATGAGAAGATGTCAGAAGAAAGCCCACACCGGAGCTATCGTGAGTGATCAACTGAAAACTCTGAGTTGTGCTCAAGCAAGCATCTCTGACATCTTCATCAAGCTCCGACCTTCACCTTTGCCATTGCCATTAGCGCTGTCCCTGCCGACGGCAAGACCCAAGAAGTCAAAGGGAAGCCGGCACGAAGAGACGATTGTCAGGGACCTTCTTCGGCGCAGACGCCAACAGTCTGACTTCAACATGATCGCATGCGGCCAACCACGGGGCCGAGGCGATACCAGTAGCCTTGGTGACCATGCCAGGAGTGGTCCCCTGCAGTTGCCGAAAGCTCAACCGAGGTCCCAACGTCCACACGACATGGTTGGAGCATTGAAAATTAGTTTCAAGCCACACTTCCTGCAACTGCAGCGGGTGGCTCCTGTTACAGACAACAGCTCGCCTTCTTGTCCTGGCTTCTGAATGCCGGCAAGCCAGAGGAACGTGGTGCGAAAACGGACTTGTTCAGTCAGCCATTCCAGGACTGTGGGGAAGCAGGCTTCCGTAAATTTATCGTCGCTTCCCTGTGGTCATCCCGCTGCTTTGCTGACTGTACTGGGGAGTACTTTCAAGCCACGAAGCCAGGTGCATGTACTCAATTGCGAGGTCGCGAGCACCGGCAGCTTCAGCAGCCTTGCAGGCATTGGTGAAAGTCTGCTTCTGCCAAGTCTTCAGAATCTCCTCGTCTTGGACGCCAAAGAAGTCTCGGGCTTCTCGCATGGACTGCCTATCCCCGACCAAAGCCTCCTGTGAGCACACTGCCGTCACTGCCCAGAACTCTGACATGACGAAGCTGTCCAATGTCTGATGACTGATCACGGCCGCAGCCATGCGTAATGCCTGCCGCCTCTGCCTACGAACACGCAAGTCTTGGAACTTCAGATCAGGCCATGCCAGATTGCAGCACAGAAGACAGCTCATCAATTTCACGAAGGTCTTCTCTGGGTCCGTAAGCTTGTGTTCCTCGGATTTTCCCCCATGTTCCGTCGCAAAGTAAGGCTTGAGAGTATCTTCGATGTCTCCTGCACATGTTTTCCCACGACACATTTCAAGCAGTTGTCGACACTTCGTTTTCTTCGTTGATTCCGAAAAGTTCGGCTCACACATGACCGCTGCTTGCAAATTTCGTCTCGCATGGCACCACGTTCATGCTGGTATATCTGCCATAAAGGCCATAAATCACTGCGCATAATTGCTGGCAAAAATGCGCGAACAAAAGCCAGCCGCTTGCCAGCCAAAGCAGTTATGGCCCCCGGTGCCAAGGGGTCAGTAACGTCCCCCAGCCGTCGCGGCGGACCTTGAAAAAAAACAGCCCGTGCTGCTTGCCGTCGCTCCTCCTCACGCCGCTTCGCTCCAAGGTGTCTAGGAACACAGTTGTGACATTTGTCGCATGCGGCTCCGCGCAGACACGTCTGTCCTTTCGGCCTGCGAGTCGCAAAAGCACATGGGATCATGGGTCCACTGTTTCCGATACGGCACCCACACATTGCAGTGCCGGGATTCAGGTAGCTGTTGAAGCACAAAAGGAGGCCAACTGCACACAACAAGTCCGGCTCCTCCCCAACCGGACGCAGCTGCATGAATATGATGCCACTCAAGCCACGCCCCGTCATGCGCATGTTCACTGCCGCCTCTCTCTGTGCCTGCTGCTGCGAAAGGGGAATGCGCTTCAACAAGGGGCCACCATCACCAAACCGAGCACCAACACTGTCTCCCAAAGTCTGGATCTCGTCAGTGACGTATGCCCCCAGGTCTTCCAATGGACTTTCAAGATAGAAAGATCGCAGAAGCACAACCTTACCCCGGACGTCACTCAATTTCAAGGATAGTGCCTGTGATGCCTGCGGCGGCAGTCGCGCGAGTAGGCCCGTCCTCCCGGCAGTTTTTCTGACAAACTCATCGAAAGCCTTGTTGAACGTCTCACCCGCCTGGCTCGACCTATTCACGAGAAGGATGATGCATTCCGTGCTGTTATTTGCAAGGAACTCCATGCACCGGTCTATGATAGTGTCGGGCTCGAGATCACCAAAGCATGAGTTGTAGTCCACGAACAACCTCCGCAAGTGGGAACTAAGCGTGATGTCAAACGCGCGAATGCCCGTGTGCAGCATATGCCTGAAGTCGAAATTATGATGCTGTGCGCTTTGCTTTGTGTCAAGCACACCCGGGATTGTCATGTGTTCAATCTTGACTTCGTCAGGAACTGACCACATCCAGCGCTCGCAATGGCGCTTGAGAGTGACAACAATGTGCTTGATCCTGCTGACCGTTGAGGAAACTAGAATTCCCTGGAGATCTGTCGCCGGCTTTTCCACGCCTCCCGTGAGAGTGGTGTAAACCTTTCCTGATGAAAGCTCCAGAAGGTAACTTGTTTTGAACAGCACCAGGTTAAGCTTTTCGGAGTTGATCGCATGCGCCCATGCCTCCAGAAGATCTATGCCTGATGGAGGCACCCACTTCTCTGTCCCACCCGGAGGGATAAACGCAGGATGTAGGTGTTTGCTTGCTTCCGAAAGCACCTGCATGGACATCGGAGTGTCATTGAAGATGTGCAAGTGGAAGCCACTCTCTTTGACCTGCACAGATATTGCTTTACACGAAAGAAACCCCGTTAGGAGGTGGATCTCCCAATGCATTGGGCGTGTTCATCAACAGCTTTGGACTCTGGGTGAGGACGAGGGGAAGTACGTAACGGGGTTTAGGGTTTAGGGGTTTAGGGTTTAGGGGTTTGGGGGTTTAGGGTTTAGGGGTTTAGGGTTTAGGGGTTTAGGGTTGAGGGTTTGGGATTTGAAAGGATCATGGGACTTCGTCGCTTAGAAACGGTTCCTTGAAGAAAGGTCCCTGCAACTAAACCCTAAAACCTACTTAGAATTGAAACAAAAACTGCACTTACAATTCCCACATGTACGTTTCAGCGCCTTGTTGCAGAGCATATGCTTGGGTTAGGTCACTGCGGCTAATTTATACTACCCAGTGCTCTCAAGTTGGGTTAGGCAACACTCTCTAGGTGCAATCTGACAAGCGCAAGTAGCCCAGTTGTCTTCAGGTTACACCTTAAGAATGAAACGTCGCCTACTAAGTTGTGTTAAGTCAAGATCCCCAGTAAACTACGGTTGATGATGTAAATCCTGCATTACCCAGAATAAGCAATAGACCCTAATTCCCATAGTTTAGGGTCCTTGAGGTAATGCAGAATTTATATCATCAACCTTGGCCATTGTCCTAGGTCCTAGGCCACAGAGAGACTTGGGAACGGTCCCTTGTTCCCGAAGCCGGGTGGCTTCATGAGCTCGCACGTCACCGTGAAGGTGGTTTAAGAACTGGAATCCACCGCGTGTTCCTGTGCTTGTTGAGCGTGCGATGGCATGTTCTTCGACAAGACTCTGATTCCTCTGATCACTGGTCTAACTCCTGGTGACCATGATTGTACCAGAGCTCGTGTTTGGAACCTTCGGATCGCAAACCCTCGGATCCGTCGGAGAGCGTGCACGCCCTGCGAAGTGTGGTAAGACAACTCGCTAAACCAGCTCATCGTTCGCTTTGGCTGCGTTGGTACCCGCACATATCTGTCAAACACGGCCGACCAGAGTTACCGGGTGCTTCCAAAGCCTTTCTTCACACGGTTTGTTCTGGCGCAGTTTCACGGCACCTGTCCTGCCCTGGCCGAACAACACAAGGGTATCAAGCAAGCTGGTCGTCGAGAGACCTTCCGAAAGTTCATGCGACTGCTGTGCGATCTTTCCCAAAATAGCTACTTCGCATGACTGGATGCCCCTTCACTTCAGAGTTAACAGATTCAGCAATCCTGAACCAAATGCCTGTCATCAACAGCTAGGTAAACAAACAACACGGCGGGCTTATGGCGATGTCTTCAGACGATGGAACTGCTGGGCGTGGCAAAAATCGCGTGCCTCTTCAATCGGAACTTCACCCGACACTTCTGCGACAACCTGTCGAAGTGCAAGTGCAAATGCAAACTCTCACTGCTGGATGCATCTCCGTGCATGTGCCTCTCCATGCGGAACCTTCGGCTCCGCGTCCTGCAAGTTCTGACCCAACTGTCACTTCTGTTAGCTAATTTTGCTTGTGGTGTCAAGATTGCCGGCGGTCCTTCTCGGTTCCAGCGACATCCGCTTTCGGAGTCCGCGGGCAAACTGAAGCCTCACCGATAACCTCCGCGGCTTTTGCGGTCCGCGCCTGGCCAGCAAAACAAGTCTCTCGAAGCTAGAATCATCGTAAAGATGTTTTGGTGGCTACCGGCCAAGCCGCTTCGCGCTAGAGAGGCCTGCGGCTGTTGAGCTCAAGCCCATAATGACTCGGCGACTGGCCAGTATTGTATATCAAACAAGATCACCACGGCTGATTCACCTTTCATATTGAAGTTTTCCAAAAAGGCCTCCTGCGGCTCGTCACCCTCGAGGCGGAGCTGAACGGTTTCGGTGGCCCCGAGCACCAAGCCCAGGTTGCAGTAGCCGTTCTCGAGCTCGGTTGCCCTCTCTTCGAGCTGCTTCTGCGTGAAGGTTTGCGGCTCCTGACCCTCGAGGCGGAGCTGCCCGGAACTCCCGGAAGAGGGCTGTGCCTGGGATGATGCCGATGTCTGAAGATTGGCCCACGCTGCTTGAATCCGAGATTTCTGAAGGCGGGTGAGCTCAATTCCTGGAAAAATCTCTTCAAGCATGCTTTCCAACTCTGTGGGATTCGACGCTGAATGCTTGAAGGACGACAACGCTGAACGCAGTGCTTCTGCCATCGCAAAGAGCAGACCGTTGCAGTGATGCACTATTTGGGCACACTGAAAGGGGGACACTGGGAAACCTGGGATAGGGAAGGAGGGCGTACAACATGAAAGCGCATGCGAACTCATGCATGACATGTAACCACAGAACGGTTGAGCCTGCAGCGAGGACGAAGCTTCTTTGGCATGACAGCAACGCATGTGAGAACAGCCTGCCCTAGCTCTCCGCGGCTCGCACAAAACGAACATGCGAGTATCTGCAGACGAAAAAAAAGAACTGCCACTGTCGCACGTTGATGTTTTGCAAACCGCAGACAGTCGATCACTCCGTTTGTGAAATTGCCGAAAGGCAAGCACTGCGCCTACACAGCATGCAAGACGAGGGTATCTCATAGTAGATTAATCTTGAATACGTATTATATATATATATACCAACCAATATCAATTCCCATCGATATGATAATTTTGAGCAGTCGTAATAACCATTGATTCTAGATAATAAAGATTGATAAGCCTAAGGCCCAACACAAAGAAACGCCGAGGTTGCTTTGTTTTCAATCTATGCTTCGCAGGCCTCGCCTACACAAGCCTCCGTTTCCTCCAGCGTCTTCCTGGCGTTGGCATGTGTCTTGGGGTTTAGGGTAGTCGGGGTCCTCTTCGTGGATCATGGTTCTCGGGTTTCAGGGTATGGCATGGTATGCCCTAAACCCTAAACCCTAAACCCTAAACTGCAACGGTTGGTCGTGAATATGGTGTTTAAGGTGAATTTAGGGGTTCCATATATCCAGCTTCGAGCCTCTAGTTCGGATTTAGGGAGTCTTGTTCCACCCTTGAACCCCAAAAATGTGGAAACCCTCAGCCCTCAGGCCCAAACAGCGCACAGATAACATAAAAGGTAAGCTTTAGAACGTAAGAATGGTGCAGGAGCTTTGAGAGGAAGCAGAATCGCTGCCCCAGAATTGGAAAACAGCAAGCCGGACAAACCCTAAACTGAAAACCCTAAACCCTAAACTTAAAACGCTAAACCCTAAGCCTAAAACTCATGGGAATGTTCCTAGTCCAGGGAGCATCCATTTAGCGCTCCAAACTTAGAACCGGAACAACAAAAAACCCCGAACCCCCTAAACCCTAAACCCTATAAACCCTAAACCCTAAACCTAAACCCTAAACGCTAAACCCTATGCCCTATAAACGCTAAACGCGGCACATCGTAGATCGCAAAACCCCGAACCCAGGGCTGCGCAACTCGGGGCTGCGCACTCAGAAGAGTTTCGGGTTTACGGTCGTTTAGGGTTTAGGGTTAGGGTTTAAGCTTTAGGGCTTGATTTAGGGGTAGGGTCATTTAGGGTTAGGGTTTAAGGATTAGCGCTTACTTTAGGGGTAGGGTCATTTAGGGTTAGGGTTTAAGCTTTAGGGCTTAATTTAGGGTTTAAGGTTTAGGGCTTCACGTTTAGGGTTTAAGGTTTAGGGCTTCAAGTTTAGGGTTTAAGGGTTACACCCTAAACTCATGCTATTAGGAACGATGCTGACACGACGTTGCCGGATGACGTTGAGTTTAGGATTTGGGTTCGCGGGAATTCCGGAGCCTCATGGGTCTCATGTCATGGGTCTGAGGTACCAAACAATGAGGAATTGGCTTCAAGGGTTCAGGGTGTAGTGTTTTCAGGTTTAGAGTTTAAGGTTTAGGATTCTTTGTCACGGTTTAGGGACTCGGATTTGGGGCTTTCGGACCAGGTACTTGGGCTTAGTCGTAGTAATTGTAGCTCGGCCCACCCCTAAACCCCGAGCCCCAAACCCTAAGTCGGACCTGCGGTAGATGTGGAGAAACTGCTTGGGGTTCCAGGAGACTTCCACCTGAGCTGAGAAACGCATGACTGGGAATTCAGGGGCAGCAGAAAATCTTTACAGTTAGTATCTGGGGTCCAATGGCCTAGACCTAAACCCTAAAACCCTAAACTCTGGACCTTAAACCCTTAACCTGAAACCAGATTTGCTCATCGACTGTAACTGCATCGATTTGGGATCCATCTCCATTGCCTGTCTACAGTCGATATGTCAAGAAACTTGGGTTCTTCAAGGTTTGGCATCCTAAACGCTGAGTTTGGGCTTTTTGCTTGACTAGGTTTCGATTTCAACAGTTCCCCAAAAGTATCTATGATGGGTGCTCTATATTAAGCAGTAAGGAAATTAAGGTTATATATCCCAAGTTGCCAAATCAATAACCCTGAATCCTAAACCGCAATACCTAGTTTATGTTCAGGGTCTTGGAGGGGCTTAGCCTCGACTTATGTGGAGAACTTCCTTTCCAGCCCTTTCGGCTCGCCCGAACACATCACAACCTAAACCCTAAACCCTGAACTGTGCATAAACAGGCCACCCCTAAACCCTGAACTGTGCATAGACAGGCCGCCCCTAAACCCTGATCCCTAAACCGTTATTATGCTTGCAGACAACACTGAGGAAGCGAAGGGTTTGGGCCAACAAGGTTTTGGTATCGTTCTACCCGCGATGGCCGGCTGATGCCCTGAGAGGTAGGGATTTGGGTGCAGGGTTCAGAACGTTTTATTCGTGTTTCGACTGACACACTCGCTCAAGGCAGGCATGGCGTACTGCGTCCGAGATTGCTACAGGGACATTTCGTGTGTACGGCTCCATGATGGAGCGTTCAGGGCTTCGCGTCAAGGACGTATGGTTGGGGGAGGGGGGGGTGATGCTTGGAGTGCTGAGGACCAAGAAGAAGCGATCGGTCTTATAGTATTGTGCTTCCGTCTTCAATTTTCCACAAACCTGGGTTTCTTTAGTTTTTTTACCATAAACCAAGCACTATATTCAACAGCCATATCCTGTCCCACCTTTGTAGGCTCTTTTGCTTTGCCAACCGAACATCAATGAAAGATCAGGTAGTTTCAGGTAAACACCCAACTCTATTGTTCAAGCTTCAAAACATTCGTAACCTCTTCAATGTTTCAGGGTTTTAGGGTGGTGGAGTTTCGGGCGTCGTGGCTTTTGGTCAGCTCGCCGACGATGTTCACAGACTTTAAACCGTCAGAACCTACCTTTTTCGAATACGAACCACAAGTCAAAAAAAAACTTAGGTTATGGGAGTTTTGAGATATCTTATGAACTTTACAGAGATGCTTGACGTGATTTGGTATGTCCGTACTTCTAAACCTGTAGGACCTTTATCAAGCCCTCGAGAAGAACCCTAGATCCAACGCCCTAGAACCAAGAGTTAAAACATAACACCCCTGAGGCCCTAAAAGCTGATCCCTATACCCTAAACCCTAAGCCCCATCATGATTCTCTTTCTTAAGTAAGCTTTAAGGCCCGAACTTCAGGCGCCTAGACTTAAAACCTTATAAGCCCTCAGCCCAAAACATTTTAGCACGGCCGAGCCGCAGTCAGGGTCGATGCCATGAGCCAATCTGGCTCCTGGCACCGCGAAAGCTTCGACCCGAGTTTCATGCATAAAGACGGGATTCTCGAAAGTGTATGTACTCTGTACGGCTTCTATAGGGGTCCCAATAAGGTCTCTACAAGTAGGGGTCAGTTCGTCTTTCGGGGTTTAAGGTTTAGGGCTCCGAGTTTAAGTCAAGGTCGTGAGCTGGCTCGCCAAATGAAATCAAGCTTCCCGCAGACAGCGTTGTCCATGCAGCGTTGTTCTTTGGATCATACAAAGGGTGTTTGGGGAGAACGTAAGGCTTGACCTCAACCCTAAACCCTAAACCCCAAACCCTAAACCGACACATCACATTGATTCAGTGCGGTGTTCGGCCCATCGACCATTATCTGAATCGGCGCGTCAGATGCAAAGGGTTTATATGGGCAACGGGAACCCTTTATGATTCTACCCCAAACCCTAAACCCTTAATTTCGGCACCTGAAGGGACCCGATACAGTTCTACCCTCAAACCTAAACACTTAATTTCGACACCTGAAGGGACCCTATATAAAATTCTATCCTGAACCCTAAACCCTTAAACCCTAAACTTTAAACCTAATCTAATTCTACGGCAACTTATACTTTGCAGAACCCAAACGGCGCTGAAGTCAGGCTTTGCCTTTGGTTTCAAGTGCTTCGGCTACAGGGTGTAGGGCCAGGGTTCAGGGTTTAGCGTTCGGCGTTTAAGGTTTAGGGTTCGGGGTTTAGGGTTCAGGGTTTAGGGTTAAAGGTTCGGGGTTTAGGGTTTAAGGTTCGTGCTTTATGTAGTTAAGGCTCGGGGTTTTAGGGTTTAAGGGTTCGGAGTTTAGGGTTTAAGGTTCGGGGTTTTGCCGAAAGTCCCCCTAAACTCTAAAAGCCCGAAACCCAACCTTCTTTAGGGTGCAGGTGTAGGGTTTAGGGTTTCAGCGTAAAAGGTTGTAGGTTCTTGTTGTTCCTTCAATTTTGCAAGTCAGACATGGACGTCAGATTTGCGGGATTTGGGACGAATACGCAGATGCGCCAACCTTCCCTTGACGACCAGGGCGGATTCTGAAGCAGTGGCGGGAGTTTCGGGCTCACAGTGACCCAGTCGTAGGTCTCCGGGCGGAGACAGGCTGGGTCCAACTGGCCGTACCACTCCACTTCCCACAAGCTATCATCCCCGTTTTGTGTTCCGGTTGAACAGTGCCGGCCAGCGTGCATTCTGCCTGTGACGACGCAGCAACACTTAGGGTGGTTCACATCAGCGGCGAGTCGAAGCCGCTGCCGACAGAGCTGGAGCACATGGCGAAGTCGAAAACCTTGCAGCTGAAGAACGCCGCCGATTTCGAGAACGCTCAGCTTGGATCAGGCACCGGGCAAAGGACTCGAGGGGGGACGGGGAGAAACCGAAAATGCAAACCCCTGAACCCTAAACTACCCTTAATCTAAAACCCACCAGCCACGAAGTGTACTGTTCGGCTGAGGCCGGCGCCTGCACAACACTACCTAAAGGATCATGAGATACTCACAACTAAATTAC